TCCCTACAATGCACGGAAACATGCATTTATTTTGTTTTCATGGATATGCCAACCTGAGTAACCTGATATCACCCGACAAATTACGAGTTTGTGGGCTTAAGAGGGTGTTGCGGTTCAAAGTTGTCTCAACCCGCACCGTGCGGCTCGGCTCAATTTTTCGGCTCAACCCGAGCTTATTCGGCCGAATTACACTTCTACTTTCTATCATTACCCTTCATCACGTGTATTTTATTATTATTTTATTTAAAGAATAATATATTATATTAATAAAGTGTAATTGTCAAATAATGTAAAAAATAATAGAGAGCACTATAAACCTACTTCTTATTGCAAATTGTTTTTATGTTAAATCTAAAACATGTTATATTTGCCTTCATAAAAAATATATATATATATATTTTATATTTATTGTCAAAATTGACTTTGTATATAGCATAAATTGAAATTGAAATTGATTTTTTATTTTTTTAGTTTTTATTTTTATTTTTATACCCTTTAGTTTAAGAGTATCAGATTATCATATCATATATTTTAGATTATGACATCGATACGTTCAGATTTTGAATTAGTCCCTTTTTGGTGAATGTTCCCATTTGACTATAAAAAGACTAAAATACCCTTAAAAGTCTATAAGAATATAAAAAACAAAACAAACATTAAACAAAAAATGAATTCTAAAAAACTAAGAATAATAATAAAAAAATTGTTCCCAAAAGTGGGAAGAAGAATGAGAGAGTGATATCAACAAAATTACTTTTTGTATGGACATCGCCCCTGTGTCACTACAATCATGTCATGAAATTGTAATAAAATAATATGAACCTTAGAGAGAAAACAAAGACAAACACACAGTGCATTTGGAATTAATTTCAAAATAATTTTATATTCTGTATGAAAATAGAAATGAAAACGTTTTCATTTTCATTTTGAAATTATTTCTGAAATGCGTTTGGTAGTTTTATTAAGAGATTGATTTCAGTTTTAAAAAAAACTGAAACTGCGTTTGGTGGTTTAATTTTTAAAAACATGTAATAATATTTAAAATAATAATATATTAAATAAATAATATTATTAAATATATTAAATAAATAATATTATTAAATATATTAAATAACCATCATTATATAAGACAAAAACGGTTTCAGAAAAGAGAGAGAAGAAAATGAAAAAAAAAAAAATGAAATCCGTTTTCAGAAAACGAAAACGAGAAAATGAAAACACATTTTTTTCGTTTTCAATTTTTCACAAAAGACAAAAATGATTTTGTTTTCGTTTTTAAAAAATTTTTAGGCCAAACGCATTTTATGTTTCCGTTTTCATTTTTTAGTCTCAAAAAATGTGAAAAGGGTGGGGGGGGGGAGACGCCGACTTGCTTGGCGAGCAAGATGTGCTCCTTCATCTGCGGCATGGGGCCGTCGGCCCCGGAGACGACGAGAATCGCGCCATCCATCTAAGCGGCGCCGGTGATCATGTTCTTGACGTAGTCGGCGTGGCCGGGGCAGTACATGTGGGCGTAGTGGCGGTTCGCAGTCGTACTCGACGGTGGCGGTGTTGATGGTGATGCCCTGGTGTTGATGGTGGGGGGTGGGTGGGCAGTCAGAGATGTGCTCCTTCATCTCCCTCATCTATCTCTATCTCTCTGTAAATCAGATGCAGCCACGATTAGTGACGGCGGCGGCTTCTGACGACTGACGATAGCCACCGAGCGAGGGAATCTCCAGCGGCGTCTCTCGCAATCTGGAGCCATTGTTGCGATCCACGTCGGGATCTCCTCGCGATCTTCTCGTTCAGCCGTCGTTCAAGATCGCCATTCTGACAACCGTTCGCGAGCAAGAAGAACGCCGTCGCTGGAGAAGATGACCGTTCACAAACCAAATCACGATGTCGGAGTGGGGGAGGGGGGTGCAGTCGGGGGGGGTGGGCAGTGGAGAAGAGAGAGAAGAAAATGAAAAAGAAAATATGAAATCCGTTTTAGAAAATGAAAACAGCTTTTTTTCGCTTTCAAAATTTCACAAAACGACAAAAACGATTTTGTTTTTATTTTTTAAAAAAAATTTCACCAAACGCGTTTTCAATTTTTTGTTTCGAAAAACGTGAAAAATGAGATTGAAAACAGTAACAAACAGGGCCACAAGATTTACATTTCTAGTTTGTTTTATGTGGTTTAAACATTTTTACAACAGTGTTTCTACTTATACAAATTTGAATTTCTATTCCAACTTTATGTTTAAACCTACTAATCAAACGGAGGTAGTGGTTTGTCTAAATATTATCAAGAAACTACAAAAATTCACAACAATTATTACTTTACAAGTTTTTAAAGATACATAGACTCCAAGAATATAATATTAATAAATTCAAGTATAAAGACGTATGTTTACTTCAGATATAGAATTATTAGGATTTACAAATATTGTATTGAGCATACCTATAGGCACATGTATTGCATTGCATTGCATGTAATCCATTAGACTTTTCTTTTTCTTTTTCAGACATTAGAATTTTATATTTTCACTTATATATATGAGGATTAAACCTTTTAAGTCAGAGAAATTTTAGTCACGAAAAAATTTTTAGTTACACCTAAAGATTAAAAATTTTTGTGACTTAAAACTCTAAAGATAAAGGTTTTAATCACACCAAAAATTTATGTAAATATATATTACTCAGAAAATTGTCACTGAAGTGACATTTACTTAAAAATTATTATTGAAAGTAGAAGTATAATAAGAAGAAAGTAGAAGTATAATAAGAAGATTTTGTGATTATTAAAAGTACTACCTGAAACCACGTGTGCGTATTTATCGTGTCATTTTTTTATATAAAGATTTAAAGTTTTCTTAAAATTTCTTCTATTGACATAGTATTCCTTTAAGAGTTTAATTTAATAAATAAAAAATAAAAATTTAAGTAGAGTATGGTTAAAAGGAAAATATGTCTTGATTTTTTATTAAAGAGTAAATTATTTATGGAGTATATATGAAAAAAGTAATATTTAAGAGGGTTATAAGGAAAAAAAAAAATACATAGGTAGGAGAAGATATGATATCCATAAAATAATTAGAAAATATATTTTGTGAGGACCACATTTGGAAAAATATTATTGAGTATATGTGAGAGCAACTATTTATACGGAAATAAATTATAGTAGTTTTATTTATGAGATAATTAAACAATAGTTGAGAGTGTCACTGAGATAAAGCATGTGAAAATACAGTGATAAAAAAAGTGTTTCGAAAAAATCTTTAACAGCCTTTAACAGAAAGGAAAAAATAGGGATATATTTAAAATAAATTATTTTAATAAAGTGTAAAGCGTGGAAATAAGTACTTCAAAAAAACAGATTGTAAACAAAATTAGACTGTATAGAAATTTTAGAAAAGAAAAAGCAAATAAGGAAAGGAAAAGATAAAAAAGAAATTAAGAAATGTTTAAAAAGAAAAAAAAGAATATAAAAGGGGTTGCCCATGTGTCAAAAAGAAGGAAAAAACTTCTTTGTTATGCCACATGTAAAAAGAGAGAAACACGTATTGACTGACTGTTTTATGTATGTTAAAGGATAAGCTTTAGTGACATGTTTGTCACACCTAGTAGGCGATTCCAATTAAAATCATAGCGCACGTGCAAGCGGATAAAATGCAACTCATCGTGATGATTTCTCTGTTAGCCTAATCTTCTTTGAGCCGGGACGGTTGAAAATGATCACACCGAGTTCTTTAAGTCTCGTTTATTTTATTGATTTAAATTTAAAATTTGAGTTTTGTTACAGTAAAAAATTTTTAGAATTAATCACATTTAATTTTTTTATTACAGTAAAAAATATTCACATAAAATTACATCTCAATTCAAATTAAAAATTTGAATAAACGAATTGATACGTCCCAACTCTCACGTTAAGCCCTTCCTTTGAGCAGTGATCTTTTGATATTATCACGTGCGTACTCAGTGACGCAAATAGAGGCAATGAGAGAGAACCAAATTTACGCATTCACTGACGCTAGACACAGCCAAATAATATTAATTCTGATCATTTATAATATTTATAATCGTGTCATGATTGGGAAGGAGAAACAATAATTGACAAGCAAATTTCACTACACTATCAATATGATAATCATAAGGATGTTTGACGAGAGGATTCAAATCATGTGATTTGAATTATTTTTAATTTATGTATATTTTTTATAAAAAAAAATATTATAGTGAATTACGAATCATAATTTGAATTAGAAAACGAATCTCTCTACCAAATATCTTATAGTTTGGCCTTTTTCTCTTTTATTTTTGTTGAGTTAGCCTGCAGGTTGAGCCAAAAAAAAAAAAAAATGAGGAGAAATCATTTAATCAATTAGAGAAATACATATAATAGCATTAGTGAAGTTTTCCTAGTTAAGAGAGACAATTATATACGTGGAGTTTCAGATAGAAAAAGATAAGTTGATCTCTACCTCTTGACTTTGTGAAGTACCTTTCTTTGTCTGTCTTTTTATTTTTTATTTTTTATATTTTACTAATGTTTATCCTCCATATATCAATGGTTGGAAAGCTACACAATATGTATTAATTCATTGCTCACCACTGCATACTGCATGGCCCACACAACATTATATAGATATAGATCTTATTATAAGAACTCGATCGGAAGTCAGAAACTATTCCTATAGAGCTCTAATCCAATCATATAAAATATTATTCAGCTTCAACCACGTAAAAACACACTATGGAAGATCCATTTTTGTACACAAGTACCCTTTCCCTTATCATCGTTCTAATAGCTTTGAAGCTCTTTCTCCAAACTAAAAAACGACACGAAAACCTCCCACCATGCCCGCCTTCACTTCCCATCATCGGCCACCTCCATCTCTTGAAAATCCCTATCCACCGAGCCCTCTACCGTCTGTCCGAAAAATACGGCCCCGTTTTCTCCCTTTGGTTTGGGTCTCGTCGCGTTGTTGTCGTTTCATCACCCTCCGCCGTCACGGAATGTTTCACAAAAAACGACGTCGTCCTCGCCAACCGCCCTCCCCTCCTCATGAGCAAGCACCTCGGCTACAACTACACCACCATGGCGTCCTCCCCCTACGGCGACCACTGGCGCAACCTCCGCAGCATCGGCGCCATCAACATCTTCTCCGCGAGCCGCCTGACCACGTTCTTGGGCATCCGGAGGGACGAGATCAAGCGATTGCTCGTCAAACTCTCTCGGAATTCGATGGACGGTTTCGCTAGGGTTGAGCTGAAGTCGATGTTTTCGGAGATGACGTTCAACATCATAATGAGAACGGTGGCGGGGAAGCGGTACTACGGCGACGACGTGACGGACGAGGATGAGGCCGCGAGGTTCAGGAAGATCATGAAGGAGGCTAGCGCCTACGGCGGGGCGGTGAATCCCGGGGATTTCTTGCCGATTCTGAATTTGTTTGTCAAGGAAGGTTATGAGGAGAAGGTGAAGAGGATTGCTAAGGCTGCGGATTCCTTCTTGCAAGGTTTGATTGACGAGCATCGGATCAAGAAAGAGAGTAGAAACACCATGATTGGTCATTTACTTTCTCTAGAGGAGTCGCAGCCTGAATACTACACTGACCAAATTATCAAAGGCCTTATAATGGTTAGTATATTTTTTATAAAATTTTTTGCTGTATTTTTATTTTATATATACGTATATATTATATTAAGTTTTAGGTGGGGATCTAAAGGTCACACCTCAAAATTCAATCAGTCATGAACTTATGACTAGACTTTTACTGGATGTATAAATAGTTAGTAGCTCGTTTTAGTAATAAAATCAGAGTTAATAGCACACGAAACCGATAGTAAACTGTTGTCGTTGGTTCTTTTTTTGTTTTTTTTTTTTTTTTTTTTTTTTTTTTTTTTTTTTTTTGTTATCATACAATATCGTTCTTAAAACAATACGTGTATGTATAGTTGACTTAATTTGTTATAATATGTTGTGTCATGGATGTGTCAGAACTTGTTATTGGCCGGGACAGACACATCTTCAGTAACATTAGAATGGGCAATGTCCAATCTGCTTAACCATCCCCACGTCCTCAAGAAAGCCAGAGCTGAGCTAGATGCTCAAGTTGGTCAACGACAAATGGTTGACGAACCAGATCTTTCAAAACTATCCCACCTCCAAAACATCATCTCCGAGACACTTCGGCTGTACCCAGCAGCTCCGCTACTCGTGCCACATTACTCGTCTGACGACTGTACCATCGACGGATATGACGTGCCACGTGACACGATCTTATTGGTCAATGCGTGGGCAATACATAGGGACCCTAAGCTTTGGGATGATGCGGAGAGTTTTAAACCCGAGAGGTTTGAGACTAGTAGTGAAGGTGGTGATCAGGACACCAAGATGATGCCATTTGGCCTGGGACGGAGGGCATGTCCTGGTGCGGGCATGGCCCAAAGAGTAGTGGGTTTGACTTTGGCGTCGTTGATTCAATGCTTTGAGTGGGAGAGAGTTAGCGAGGAAGAGATCGACATGGTTGAAGGTAGAGGGGTCATTATGCCAAAAGCTGTGCCGTTGGAGGTCATGTGTAAAGCACGCACTATCATGAAGACCGCATCTCTTTCAGATTCTCTGGTTGATATTTGATATATATAAATATATATATTTACATATATGGATAAATTTGGTTAATATGTTATTGACTAAATGTGTATGAGTTCTAGCAATGTTATCAACTTGAATTATATAACATTACTTACTCTATCATTTCAAAAGTTGTAGTATCTAGGTAGAATCCTGATCAATTATGCAAGTCTACCTAGATCAATTATGTAAGTGGATATATATCAGACGTGTTTTTAATGATGGATACATTTTTATTAGTGATTATCAATTGAATATAAGAATTTTAGAATATAGCGTGATAAAAATTTAATCTTATTAATTATTATACATTTTTATGATCAACTATCCAATATATTATAATCGTTTGATTAATATCATACGATTAAAATAATCATACCCATAAATGAGTAAATATTGAAGTAACTATTAAAACCACGTAAGTATGTTATATATAATGTATTTTATGCTGTGATATTTTATTGCTATAAATTAAGGGTACTTGATACTATTAGGTTTGATTTTTTTTTTTGAATTTATAAGTTTTATTTGAACTTTTAATTTTGTACAAATATTATCCTTTAACTTAATAATTATTGTAAAATATTGCTATTAAAATTTGGATTAAAAACGTACGCCTTTGTTAGTGAGCTCAATCGAAGCATGGATATTGAAATTTCGGCGGTACGGAAAAACAATTAAAGGAAAATTTGTTAACAACATCGATCATTTTTTAGAAAAAACTAAGAGCCATTAAGCATTTTCCCTTTTGTAGCATACTGTTGACCATCTCAAGATAGGCCATCTTTTTTTATTGTCGACAGGCTGTGTCGGAATCACGTAATTTGTACTTCTTTTTTTTTTTTTTTTTTTAGTGTATAAACTGATCGTAGCAAGTTACATTTTATGGTACCAAAACACACTAGGAAAAAAAAAAAGTCCAAGATAGAATGATAAAATTGATCAAAGAACCAAAAGACTTCTCATGAACAAGAAACAATCAAATTCTCTTTTTTCCATGCAGTATAAAAGGCAAGTTAAATACATCCTATTCAGTATTCAGTATTCAGTAACTGATCTCAGGAAATAAAATGAAAAAAAAAAAAAAGAGAGGACAAAAAAGTTAGAGTGGTTCGACAATATATCTACATCACGGCTAAAAGGAATGAGAGAATTAACTATTATAAGAAACATTATTAACATACTTCATATAATTAAATACATGTTATATTCATCAAATAATACAATTAATAATGTTAAAAGACTCATAATCACTAATAAGAGTAACGATATTGGTTAAATATTAGCCCTTTTTAGTGCCTAGAAGCTGGCACATGGAACCAGGTGGAGACCGGTGGGGGCACGTGCCGTAAGAAAACCAAACAAAATATATACCTGACAGTGCTCCCTCTAATAACTTATTAGGGCCTTTAATCTTTAGATTTTTAAGTAATTTTGATAAATATTCTTTAAAAATACATAAATCGAGATTTTTATCATATATTTTTTATTCATAATCTTTTAAGTCTAATAATTATAGTAATAAAAGAATATTTATTAAAAATAAAAGATAAAAATTAAGTCTCAATGCATAAATTCTCCATTTTTTCTACGCTTTTTGTTTGGACTTAGTTGGAGATGATGTGGTGAGTGTTAAGTGACCCATCTTTCAAATCGTTTGAAAGGTGTGAATAAAAATATCTAATATATATATATATATATTTAATGGATAAATCTTATATATCACAAATTCACAATTGCATCCTCCAATTTTCATCTCTTGTTTTCTATTCTGCCTCCAGTCGCTTTCCTTTTTTCTTATCTCTTAACTCTTATTGTTTCTTCTCAAAAGAAAAGGGAAGAAAAAAAAAAAACTGTCTCATTCTAATTTTTCAACCGGTACTATTGTGATTTTTTTAATCTCAATGAAATTTATGACTAAAAGATGTTACATATTTATGTCTTCATTTCTCCCTCACTGAATTCAAAATCAGCCTCCGTCCCTACCTAGAAGACCATTCCAATAAAAAAAAAATCATATTGCATCCGTATCCATATAAAATGCAGCTGATCAAAATGATCAAATATTTCTATGTTAGCCTAACCAACACAATATCTTCGTTGAGCACATCAACATGTCAGCTCTACATCATTATGACTAAGATTCTCGTCTCTGAAAAACATCAACAAGAATTGCTTGAAAAACGAAGGGAGGCCCTAGAGACCCCCTCCTCGGGTTTTCTTGACCGGCTTAGTTAAGTTTTGTTTATTTTGTTAATTCGAATCATAACTCAAATTTTATTTATAGTATTTTCTCTCATAAAAATTTAAATATAAAATTTTTTGTTATAGTATTTTCTTTAACATGAATTCACTTTTTAACTTAAATTCTCAAATTTTAAGACTCACATCTGCTTATGGTGACTAGTAAGCACCATCCACCATTGGCAGGTTTGCCACAGCTTTGCCTCAACTATAACAAACTTGCTTAGCAAGCTCGTTAAGTGTGATGTCTGTCTACTACAAACTAGTCAGAGCACATATTAAGGGCCCGTTTAGTTCGCTAATTTAAGTTTTTAATTTGAGTTGAGATATGATTTTATGTCAGAGCTTTTTACTGTAACAAAAAAGTTAAATGTGACTGTTCTGAGAGCTTTTTATTATAGCAAAACTTGAATTTTAAATTCAGATCGGTGAAATGAATGAGGCATAAACTCCTTATTGTATGTATATTATGGAGCACTACTTACATATTTTCCTCTAGCTTTTCATGTGGACTGGCAACTGACTAACTGAAAGCTTAAAAATGACTTCTCAAGTTAGTATCCTCTTAAAAGACCCTCATTTTGAGAGATTATTATGCACTGTAATGACTTCTAAAGTATTGGTTTAATATCAGATTGAACAGGTAATTTGTCATAGAAGAATTAAACATTATATCAATTTGCCAAAATTCCGACAAAGTGTCCGACTTCGAGGAAAACGAAGATCCAATTTATTCGTTAAGTGCACAATTATTGATGACTCGTCAGAATTGCACACAAAGTTGTGGAGCAAATCTTCACTACTTGCCTATCAGTTTTTATGATCACGTACTCACTGACGTATTCTGGTCCACTATACGCAATCCCTGACGTAAGATGTGGTATCAGCTGATTTGTTTCATCGTTTAGCATGAGTAAGGCGTAAAATATTAAACAATCACTCTCATTTGGGAATAGGTTGGTAATAAAAGAAGTACAAGAATTTATCCACACAAAAAAAAAAAGGAAGGCGGAAAAAGAACAAAAAAAAAACCCTCCAAAATGCAACAATAATAAAACTTAATTAACTTGCACATTGAAAAAAAGTTGCAAATATATCTCATCAAAATTACCGGTAACTTGTAAAATCTAGTGGAAAATGACAGCTTAACTTTCGACACTATAATACAATGAGAAAAAGTTTTTTTTTTTTTTTTTTTGGTATATATAAAGAAACTGTGTATCATTTAAAAGAAATATTTAGGCTGATCACCGGCTTTTTCTTGTATAAGAAGGAAAAGAAATGAACCCACCTTACCTAATCAAAGGTAAATTATGAGAAGATGACAGTCCAAGGTACTTTTTAATTTTCTTTCACATGGGCAATACTCTCTTGTCTTCTCCACTATTTTCTACGGCTTTCATGCCTACCCTCTAATAGCTACAGTGATCCGAAAACTAATATAAATACCCCCGCACCAGTTAATAATGCCAACAAACAATCACATGCACTAAAAAGGTAGATCCACATCTAGGTTTAGAATACAGAAATCCTACCACAGAATTTCGACACCAAAATCTTATCCTATAACGTTTATTCGATATATACATATATATTACAATAGCCTCAAATTCCACTATGAACCAAGTGCAAAGCACATCAATATGGAAGAGCCCTTCTTGTACACGTTTCTTGCCCTCGTCATCCTTCTCCCAATTTCCATGCTTTTCCTAAAAGCCAGAAAACGACATAAAAATCTCCCACCAAGCCCACCTTCATATCCGGTGATCGGTCACCTCCATCTCCTGAAAATCCCACTCCACCGAACTCTACTCGGCCTCTCACAGAAATACGGTCCAGTTTTCTCCCTCCGATTTGGCTCTCGCCGCTTGGTTGTCTTATCATCACCCTCGGTGGTCGAAGAATGCTTCACCAAAAACGACGTCGTCCTCGCCAACCGCCCTCCCCTCCTCATAAGCAAGCACATCGGCTACAACAGCACCACCGTCTCGACCGCCCCCTACGGCGACCACTGGCGCAATCTCCGCCGCATCGCCGCCATCGAGATCTTCTCCGCGGGCCGCCTCAAGATGTTCTTGGGCATCCGGAGGGACGAGACCAAGCGATTGCTCACCAAACTTTACTCTCACTCCCAACAAGCCGGCGATAATTTCGCCAAGGTTGAGCTTAAGTCGATGTTTTCGGAGCTGACGTTCAACATCATAATGAGAATGGTGGCCGGGAAGCGGTACTACGGCGAGGGCGTGACGGACGAGGAGGAGGCAGTGGAGTTCAGGAAGATCGTGAAGGAGGCTGCGGCCTCCGCCGGGGTGGCTAATCCCGGAGATTTCTTTCCGATTCTGAATTGGTTTGGGAAGGACGGTTACGAGAAGAGGGTGATGAGGCTGGCTAAGAAGACTGATGCCTTCTTGCAAGGTCTGATTGACGAGCATCGGAGCAGGAAAGAGAGTAGAAACACCATGATCGATCATTTACTTTCTCTCCAGGAATCGCAGCCTGAGTACTACACGGACCAGATTATCTAAGGATTTGTACTGGTTAGTAAAATACCCTTTCTAGCTATCTACTAATACATTTTTTAGTTTCATTTAGTTATATATATAATACAGGTTTAATTTGCTTATAATCCTACGCACAAGACTATATTATCATATATAATATATAAAAGTGAAAATGGATAACTAATTTCTAAGTATTACATATATATAACATAATTGTTATATATAAAATAGATGGTATGTTATATTTCTCACTTTTATATGTTATATGACAGTATAATTCTGTCGGCTTGAAATATAAGATTTTCAACATCAAAATTGAGTGATGATGAATGAACATCAACTATAATACAGTCCTCTACCACATGCACAACATATTAATGTTATATACGTATAGTCTCATTAACTAATACGTTCTTTTGCAGGTATTGTTGTTGGCGGGGACGGACACATCCTCGGTAACACTAGAATGGGCCTTGTCCAATTTACTCAACCACCCCCATGTTTTAAAAAAGGCTAAACAAGAATTAGATGCTCAAGTTGGTGAACAACACTTGTTAGAAGAACAAGACCTTTCTAAACTTCATTACCTCCAAAGCATAATCTCTGAAACTCTTCGGTTGTACCCAGCGGCTCCATTGCTTCTACCACACTACTCGTCTGATGACTGCACCATTGGCGGATACGACGTGCCACGTGACACAATCGTATTGGTCAATGCATGGGCCATACATAGAGATCCAAACCTGTGGGATGTTGCCGAGAGTTTTAAGCCAGAGAGGTTCGAGATGGGCGAAGGTGAGGCCCACATCCTTATGCCATTTGGGATAGGGAGAAGGGCCTGTCCTGGGGCTGGCTTCGCCCAACGTGTAGTGGGCTTGACTTTGGGGTCTCTGATCCAGTGTTTTGAGTGGGATTCAACGGGGAAGAAGGTTGACATGACTGAAGGTAAAGGGCTCACCATGCCAAAAGCGGTGCCACTAGAGGCCATGTGCAAGGCACGCCCCATCATGAATGCGGTTCTCTCAGAAGCTATACAGAATTAAGAAAAAAGTGATTTGAGAAAATAATGTACGATACTCAATAAGATTTCTATGTTTTCGGCATAAGGGAAAACAAATAAATCTAAATGCCGGACTAGATTGTTGAACCAACGTTTATTAAACTGTTGGAATGTTAATGTTAATAAGCCTTTCGTTGAAGCTGATCCATATTAGAATTTGCTTTTAACGCCGTGACATCGATAGTGTAACCTGGCTTTTTCTGTGGTATGTACCATTAGAATCTTATATATTCTTTGAATATTGTCTCTACTGGGAAATGTATTTGCATGAGGCGAAGGACTTGGGAGCTGGATCCACTTGGGTTACCGTCAGGGAGGGGGTCTCCTTTATTTTATTTTATTTTTAATTTTTAATTTTTTTCTTTTAATTTTAACCAATTTAATATATTTAAAATAATATTCGGTATGGATAAATAAAGATAAGTTGGCTCTATTACCACCCCTTAGTCAAATTGGGAACCGATTTATGCTGGGGGTGGATTCCATTTTCAAAATAGAATTAACAAACCCAATAGCCAACAAGGATTCCACTTCATTGACATGTTTAGGCTTTACATATATATATAATATGTACATATATATATATATATATATATACAAATAGGTCAACCCGTAAATCCCTTAAGTTTGAGAACTTACCATGATTCACAAAGGTTTCAAACACGAAGAACTTCGTTTCTTCATGTGTGTAAATTCTTTTCCATCAGATGCTTTATAAGATCTTTTAATTAATAAAGGTTCTGCATAAAAAAAGTGCATGCATTTGGTTTAATTTTACAGGAGGTGACGAGGAATTCTGTTGTATATTACTTTGTACTTAATGGTAGTTTTACTTATATATATATATATATATATATATATATATGTCGTCTAATCTGCTATTTTTATTAGTGGCGCTTCTTACCTATCTGTAGGCGCAAAAAGCACTCCTTATATATACTGTATAACAATTATAAGCAAGATATGATCCCTACTTAACACATTCGAAACGATTGACGAGAAGAAAGTTAACTTGTTTTTTTTTTTTAAGAGAAAACTATTCTTATAGAATAGCGACTGCTGAATTAATTTAATAGTCCTCATCAATAGATATTGATTTTGCTTAAATTTTTGTTTAGTTATTAGCCCACTAATAAAAATTTTCGGCTCCATCACTAAATATGTATTAGATATTGTCCAACTAGAAAAGAGAAAATGAGATAAAAAAAAAGAAATAATGAATTATTCAGTGGACTTATCCATCCAATGAGAATGAATTATTTAAGCATTTTGTCTACGTCGGCTTTTTACATTTATTTTTCTCTTTTTTAATATGTAATGCATTGAATGTTAAGTCAAAAGTATCATTATTATTCTACCTAATTCTCTTATTTTAATCGATTAACTTTAAATAATAATTTTTATTTTTAAAATACTATTATTCAAATTTTTTTTTTTTTTTTTTTTTTTTTTTTTTTTTTTTTTTTTTTTGCTTTTTAAACGTGCCTTCTTAAATTGCTGCCTTTTTCTCTTAACTTAAAATACTGAACGAAAGTATATACTATAACATTTTTTTTTGAACTTAAGTTCCTAACTTTTTTTCTTTTTTAATTATAGTACTACGTACTTTGAGTTAAAAATATATTCATATACATTTTGAAGTTAATCTGTCATGAACAATCCATTTTGTTTCAAATTGAGCACATAAAAGGAAAAAAAAAAAAACCCCGTAATCCAAATACAACATATATATATATATCTATATATATAACACAAGAATCATCACCCAATTTCTCAAAATTATTTAAAAAATAAAAAAAATTAAGACCTTCACAAAACTTTGAATAGATATCAATATGATCTTTTTCAATTTCCATATTGCTAGGTGTTGATCACTAATCTCTTTTTTTTGTCTTGCCTTCAACTTTACAAAGAGAAAATTGAAAGATATCAGCCCCTACTGTGCAGATGCATGATAGAAAGTAGTTTTTTTTCCCCTCTGCCAATGGAATAGCAAGGGACTCTAGCAGAGAAAATTGAATAATAGAATTTTAGAAATAAAATTAATTATTTAAAGTAAATTATCAAAATAAAGGAATTAGGTAGAATAATAATGGTGCTTTTGACTCAAAAATCAATGTAATAGTCATTAGGAAAGAGGAAAAAAATGTAAAAAGTTGACACAAACAAAATGTCCAAATGATTTATTCTCATTGGTGATGCGGTACACCCGATTTACTGAGTAAGGGCTCGTCTGACATTACTTTTGAAGGCTGCTTTTAATTTTATGTAAGAAGCTACAGTAGGTCAGGGTGTTTGGCAAAACTTACTTTTGTCTAGCAACTTTTAAAAACGGTTGCCCCGTCGTAGAATTTGAGAAGCAAGTCATGGTTACTTTTTCACAGCAGCTTCTACTGTCATTGTTCGAGTTTACTAAAATGACCATAATAATAAATCTTAATTCCCAATCAATTCATTTCATTTCTTCCAAATCAAATTAAAGAGTATATTTTATTTTAAATGTTTATTTGAAAATTAAAAATCTTTAATGAATATCTTATATATTAAATTTTAACAATATATTTTTATTATAATGTTGTAAGTTTGAAAAATAATTTACCTTCAGTTATTTGCATTATTTAATTTTTTATAGATATATAATTTATCTCATTGAATAAAATCAATTTATTTTTTAGAGATATCTTCATAAAATGAAAATTAAATTTTTTAGTATTTTGGTGTATAAATATTATGAATATTAACTATAAAAATTGAAAAAAAACTAATTATAAATATGTGTTTTAATGTATGTCAATTTTAGTCATTATATATCTTCACAACAACTTTGTAGATAGTTCACCAAACATCTAAATTTCTGCTTTATGTATTGACAACAGCTCTGAAAAAAATTTATCAAACGCATATATGATTCTGATCGTAGTAAATTCTGACTAACAATAGAAATTTTTAACCGCATAACTATGCCAAACTGATCTTAATCTCTCCGAAGAAATAAAGCAGATCAGATAGATCCAAATTAAGTTGTTTTTCCATACTCGGGCATCACGCTTTTCTTTCTCGGCACTTTTTTTGCATTATATACGGAAGGTACGTCAGTACACGACCCACATCACTTAATATTGTCAACGACCATAGTACTAAATTAGGTTCATTTATATCTTTTAAGATCAATTCTATAGTACTACTCTACATTTCTTATAGATCAGTTCCAACCCCCACAAACCTTATCCAATAACGTTATTATAAAATTCACTATCAACCTAGCTAGAATTCGTCCAAGCACATGACCATGGAAGAGGCCTTAGTCCTGTACACATCTCTTTTTCTTATCATCATTCTAATAGCTTTGAAGCTCTTTCTCGAAACCAAAAAACGACACAAAGACCTCCCACCAAGCCCACCTTCTCTTCCCATAATCGGCCACCTCCATCTCTTAAAGATCCCACTCCATAGATCTCTCTGTGGTCTCTCCCAAAAGTATGGCCCCGTTGTCTCCCTTTGGTTCGGGTCTCGTCGTGTTGTTGTCGTGTCCTCGCCCCCGGTGGTCGTGGAATGTTTCACCAAAAACGACGTCGTTTTGGCCAACCGCCCTCGGCTCATCATGAGCAAGCACTTCGGCTACAATAACACCACCGTCACGACCTCCCCCTACGGCGACCACTGGCGCAACCTCCGCCGCATCGGCGCCATCGAGATCTTCTCCTCCAGCCGGCTCAAGATGTTCTTGGGCATCAGGAGGGACGAGATCAAGCGATTGCTTATCAGAATTTTCCCTCACTCCCAACGAGGCACTGATGATTTTGCCAAGGTTGAGCTTAAGTCGATGTTTGTGAACCTGACTTTCAACATGATAATGAGGATGGTGGCGGGGAAGCGGTACTACGGCGAAGGCGTGACGGATGAGGCCGAGGCGCTGCAGTTCAGGAAGATCATGAAGGAGGCCATCGACTCCGGCGGGTTGGCGAATCCCGGGGATTTCTTCCCCATTTTGAATTGGTTTGGGAACGGAGGTTATGAAAAGAAAGTGAGAAGGCTGGCTAAGCAGACTGACGCCTTCTTGCAAGGTCTGATCGAGGAGCACCGGAGTCGGAAAGAAAGTAGAAACACCATGATCGATCATTTACTTTCTCTGCAGGAGTCGCAGCCTGAGTACTATACTGACCAGATTATAAAAGGGTTTATACTGGTTAGTATACTAGAGAATATAATTTCCACATCTTACATCTAATTATTTGTTCCATTTTTTTTTTTTTCAATTTCCCCAGTTTAATTAATACTAGAGTACTAGTTTGAAATTTCACTTTATGTAACTAGATTTCCATTCCTTTCAACGGAAAAAAAAAATAAAAAAAAAACTAGATTTTCATATGTGTCATGTATATAATTAACCTTTTGATCTAGATATGTTTCAGCCAAGAAAAACCTTAAAAACTTGAAAATCAGAATAATAATAAGAAAGTACGATCCAGTCACATAAGTAGAATGATCTAGAAGTGTGGGTTATATAATTTGCTAAGTTTCACATCGTTTTTCCATTCTTGCCTTTCTTTATCGCTAAAAAACAAGTGAAATCACTAAGTCAATTAATGTAATTTAAAGGTCAAAGCGAAATTGCAACTATACTAGAAATTGAGCGACTCTTTCTGAGTACAGTGACGCACAAAAATATATAGTTATTTAATTATAACTTCTAAGTATCTCTCTTACTTAATAGATCATAGCTAGGTTTTCATTTAAATTAAATTTTACTAGGCACGCCTTGCAGGTGAACACGTTGTACTTTGGGATACTGCGTTTTTAGCATTTAGCGTGTGTAAGATAAGACAGAATAAAATAAGATAAGAAATACCAAAAAAAAAAAGTAACGCGTCGCTGTGACGTTCGTGCCTGTCCCTAACTATATGTATGCGAATATTACTTAAATATAAGCATGATAACTTAAGCTGTATATGGCACATATTTGTACAGATAAGATTGGTTATTTACATTGTCTAAATTTTGCAGGTATTGTTGTTTGCTGGGACACACACATCCGCGGTGACATTAGAATGGGCGATGTCCAATTTACTCAATCATCCGCACATCCTCAAAAAAGCCAAAGCTGAAATAGATGCTGAAGTTGGTCCTGAAAACTTGGTGGACGAACAAGACCTTTCAAAACTACAATATCTTCAAAACATAATCTCCGAGACCCTTCGGTTGTACCCGGCGGCTCCGCTACTTGTGCCACACTACTCATCCCACGACTGCACCATTGGCGGATACGACGTGCCACGTGACACGATCTTATTGGTCAATGCATGGGCCATACAAAGGGATCCTAAGCTTTGGGATGATGCTACGAGTTTTAAGCCGGAGAGGTTTGAGATTAGTGAAGGTGACACCAACAAGATGATGCCATTTGGGCTGGGAAGAAGGGCTTGTCCCGGGGCCGGCCTGGCCCAACGGGTTGTGGGCCAGACTTTGGGATCGTTGATCCAGTGTTTTGAGTGGAAAAGAGTTAACGAAGAAGAAGTTGACATGACCGAAGGTCGAGGGTTCACCATGCCTAAAGCGATGCCATTGGAGGCCATGTGCAAGGCGCGCCCCATCATGAGTACAGTTCTCTCAGAAGCTAGCCGTGATACTTAGTAGATCCTTAGTATATACTTAGTAGATTAGTAGATATGTTACGTCTAAAAAAAGGTTTGCTTAACATAATAGTAATGTCATATGTTTGTAATATTTTAGATACGAGAGGAGTACTTAAATTAGTTTGTATTACTTTCATTTGGTTAATTTATAGGCTGTTTTAGAACCTTTTTTACTATGGATTTCCCTGATATTATTTCTATTTATTACTTTTTTCTTTTCTTTGATATAAGCTTTCTTAATGCCTTTTTCAAACGAAAAATTAATGAAAAGAAAGGGAAGAAAGGAGAAAAGTGCCTACAAAGGTCCAAAAATGAAAATGAAAACAATTATCTAATAAAACTAAAGAATCTAAACAAAAAGAATGAGACTATATAAAGCAGCAACCATTGAGAAAACAAAACCATGCATGTCCTCAATTTCTCCATTGTCACTTTGAATTCTAAGCTTATAATAAGCTTATTTTTGCAGTCTTCTTCATGTTTGTCTCAATTTTTCAAGGTTCTCCGTTTTATTTTAGAAACCTAATTCTACAACTTCCATCTCTTTCTGAGAAGTAGTCTGATTGTTGATCATCAGTGAATTGTTCGCTTTAAAGCCTCGTGCTTCATAAGGATCTATATCAACATCACCTTTTATATATAATTGCCTAATATTATCGTATCATATCCATTTTCTAGCTATATAGCATCTAATTGATAAACTGTAGCCACATTGGCCTCTGAATTGATACCTGGATTGACAACAATTTGGCTGCATCAAGGTTATCTATTTTATTATGAGTTATATAGATTATCATGATTAAATAACATGATATCGTCTCTAGAAGTTTCGTAGCGAAATGTGTCGTAGACCGCGGCATAAGGAGGCGACGGGAGTAGGGGTGGAGTGAGATGAGGATTAGCGATATCTACAATTTCTGCTATTTTTTTAACGCAGGATTAGTGATATCTTCCACTTATGTTATTTGTTAAGAATGAGTGAGAGTTAAAAGGATAGTCATAAATGAACAAAAACTTAAATTACTATATTGCCCTTTTTACCATTTCATGCTATACTTTTTGAAGGATAAAATTATCTTTTCAAAATTTTAATGGGTGGATTGCATGAATCCTCTCATAAGTAGAAGGAAGCAAAATGGTGAGTCCGGAAAGATAGAGCCTCCTTCTGCCTCTCCTCTCTTTCTAATCAAACAATGGACTGGGGCTCTTCTTGTCTAAAAACTTTTTAAGGAGATTTAGTTTTAGATTACGGGAACTTCTCTAATAGGACCAAAAAAAATAAAGCATCCATATTTATCTATTTTTAACCGCAAGATCTGTATTAGAAATTGTCTATTCTGCATATTTTTTCAGTCTGATGTGATTTTAATCCGATTTAATAATTAAAAACTAACAATACAGTTAGACTAGACCTATCAGAAAAACTCGCTTAGATTATTTGTTCTTCTTTTCTTTAATTTTGTCATGTTGAAGATTAAATTAGTGTTGATCGAGAACTGATATGTGTAATGAAAAAGTAAGTACATACCTTCTAAAATAAATCTAAAATACAAGATTAAAAAATAATAATACAAACAAAAAAAAAAAAACCTTCATCAAGCAATTTGTTAATCAGCACGCTGGGAGCCGGCGGAATTGAAAAAAACCACAAATACACCGAAGAATCTATCAGTGAAAAAATCAGTGTGCAAGTTCATATCAGTTTCAATCACTCAAAATCCAGAGAGAAGAGAACCAAACTTGTGTACGCATTCAGTGACGTAGACTTATCCGCAGCTGCCGCTTAGCAATCTGGAAATCTGGATGCGTGTGTGGACCGTCAACAGACAAATTTAAACTATTGTAGATCATGTCATCATGACACTGTTGAGTGCATTTATGTACTATATTTAGGTCGTCTATCTACTAAATTATTAATAGATCGTATTATTATATTAACACTCATGAAGAATTGTATGTGTACCATATTAATAATTAATAAATACACACCATTTTATTTTACGTATTTTTTACGGTAAGATCTCTTAAAAAAATTTATCAGTAGAGTATTATTTTTTAACTGTTAGATTAATTTTTTAAATAGTTAGATCTTCAGTATGAATAGTTTTACGAGACGTGTTTTAAATTTTTTAAACGGACCTATACAAATCTTATCATTAAAAAATTAATCTAACAATTAAAAATAATGATCTCACTGGATTCACAATAAAGAATGCCTTTATTTTAAGTGGACATTAGCAACTCCAACTTAATGATCTCACCTCTGGGTTCACAATAAAGAATGCCTCTATTTTAAGTGGACATACATTATATAGCAAGTCCAACTTACTATTGTCTAGTGATAGACAAAGATAACAACTCCACTTATTATTGTCTAGTAATAAACAAAGATATAGCAGCTGATCCACTTATTTGTCAAAGTGGAAACATTAAAAAATTATAATGTGGTAATTTAACTTTTAGTCTATGTTCACGGAAGAAAAAAATGAAGATCTTTTATTATTAAAAGAACAAGGAGATTACAAAATCTTATTTCATATACTCTCTCAAAACTTAAACTGCTCCAATAGACGCAAAGGGTTCTCACAAAAGGAAAATAAGGGAATACAAAAATCTATTGTCTCACACATTCAGGTATATATGCTCGCACTATTGCCAAAATATGTTGCCAAGCAACGTGTGTGTATATATATAAGGAAATTGCGGTAAATAACAACTTTATGAAATTAAATGAGGTAAATAATAGATTTGTAAACTATTTTAAGTAAATAGTAGGGTAAGTAAAAAAATAACTTATGTGGTAAAAAATTTTAAAAAGAATCTTTATTTATGTAGAAAAAATCTTTTACCAATCGTAAAAAGAAAATTTAAGTGAAAATATGTATTTTTTAATAGTAAATGAATTATTTACGTGATAAATGATTTATTTACTACATAAACTATTATTTACTTCAAATAATTTTAAAATCTATTATTTATTATATTATATATATATATATTTATTGAGGCGAAAAAAAAAACGTGGATAGCCAAAATATCTGCCCGTGGGCACCACCGTGGGAAACAAATTTTGCAAACTTAGGGGATTCAACGTGGCATGTTTTGAGTCACAACCAAGACATCCCATTCCGAAAACCCATATATACGTACAATAACATTTTTAAGTCCAAGAGGCACAACAATATGGAAGAGACTTTAGTACTGTACACATGCCTATTTCTCATCATCACTCTAGTAGCTTTCAAATTGTTTCTCCAAACCAAAAAACCACACAAAAACCTGCCACCAAGCCCACCTTCTCTTCCCATCATCGGCCATCTCCATCTCTTGAAAATCCCTATCCACCGAACCTTCCATCGTCTGTCCCAAAAATACGGCGCCGTTTTCTCCCTCCGGTTCGGGTCCCGGCATCTCGTCGTCGTGTCATCTCCCTCCGCCGTCGAGGAATGCTTCACCAAAAACGACATCGTCCTCGCCAACCGCCCCCGCCTCCTCATGGGAAAGCACCTCGGCTACAACTACACCACCGTCGCCGTATCCCCCTACGGCGACCACTGGCGCAACCTCCGCCGCATCGGGGCCCTCGAGATCTTCTCCTCGGGGCGCCTCAACGCCTTCTCGGGCATCCGGAGGGACGAGATCAAGCGGCTGCTTCGGAGACTCACTCGCAACTCGCTCCAACACTTCGCCAGAGTTGACCTAGTTTTCTCCGGGCTGACGTTCAACATCATATTGAGGATGTTGACAGGGAAAAGGTACTACGGCGACGAGGTTTCCGACGAGGAAGAGGCTCGGCTTTTTAGGGACATCGTGAAGAAGGCTAGCGCCTACGGTGGGGCGGCGAATCCCGGGGATTTCTTGCCGATTTTGAATTGGTTTGGAAGTAACAGTTATGAGAAGAGGGTGAGAAGGCTCGCTAAGAAGACCGATGCTTTCTTGCAAGGTTTGATCGACCAGAATCGGAGGATGAAAGAGAGACCAAATAGTATTTTGAGCCATTTACTTTCACTGCAGGAGTCACAGCCCGAGTACTACACTGACCAAATTATCAAAGGGTTTATACTAGTAAGGAGTATTTATCCTTGTTAATACCTTCCTTTCTTCATTCTTTTTAATAAAAACTCCTAATCGGATTTGAGATATAATTATTAATTAGTTGACAAACAGTACCCAAATAAACGAATAAAAGCTGAAAAAATACTATTATTTGATGCATCACTATTCACCATATTAATAAATTGTAAAATTAGCAATAATTTTTTTAACTTCCTATATTGCTATAAAGATATCATGCGATTAATTTTAAATTTTGTTGTAGTGATTTTAGCCTACGTGATCAATCCCTCAATATACATATTTTTATTTCGTTAAATTAAGATTAATGCTGTTTTAAATAAAAAAAAAAAAGGATTAAGATTAATGCTTTGTAGCTGACTAGCTAGCTGTAAAAGATCTAATGTCGAGTGGATGACTAGATTCCCACTAAGGGTGGGTCTTTGTGATTGGAAACCCTATAAAGTGGAACCACTAATAGGACAAAATGAAGCAAAACAAAAAAAAAAAGGATTGATAAGAACAAGCTCTCTCTCTCTCTCTCTCTCTCTCTCTATCTATCTATATATATATATATATATATTGATTTTTTTTTCTCAAGAGACTAGGGAGGAGATTTTTCGAACCGTTCAGTTTTAACCGAAACTCGTTAACTTTCTCACAAACGGTGATGTCCTTGAATATACTTATTTTGTGTATATACTATAAATAAAATCTCTTCTTTTTAATAAAATATTGTACAATATTTTTTTCGAATGTAATATGAGATTATCCATTTGCCGCTTCTAAGGTGTTATTATTTAATATTTTCTATTTTTGTCACTACTAGAACAGTGCGCGTCAATTCTCGCCTTTGTTATTATTCTCGCCTTATAATAACAAATAGAGATAGATAATACATAGATACCATGGTTCTTTCAATGATCTTCTTGTTGTTCGGTAGTGATTTGTACATATATTGCTCTACGATCTCACTTCGGAAATATGTATATATATATATAAGACATTATATATATTCTCTCATATTTATGTATTTATATTAGAATGGAAATTACAAGGCAATGCAGAAATCGGACACGTTCTTCTCTGCATGCTCTTTATTTGGCATGCATAAAAAGACAAAACAAAGTAATTATGGCTAGGGAGCTTATCATCTCGTTTCCAAACCTACGTACATGAAAGTTTTTACATATAAATGACTTTAGCTATTTCCAAACAAAGGACAAATATGTAATCTTCTTTCAGGTCTTATTACTAGCGGGGACTGAAACATCTTCGGTGACACTAGAATGGGCAATGTCTAATCTCCTCAACCATCCTCACGTCCTCAAAAAAGTCAAAGCTGAGCTGGACACTCAAGTTGGTCAACAGAACTTGGTGGAAGAACCAGATCTTTCCAAACTACAATACTTGCAAAACACAATCTCGGAGACTCTTAGGTTGTACCCAGCGACGCCATTACTAGTGCCACACTACTCGTCTGATGACTGTACCATCGCAGGATACAACGTGCCACGTGACACGATCTTGTTGGTTAATGCGTGGGCCATACATAGAGACCCTAAGTTGTGGGATGATGCGGAGAGTTTTAAGCCAGAGAGGTTTGAAACTCATCATGAAGGCGATCAGATCAACAAGCTACTGCCATTTGGGCTAGGAAGGAGGGCTTGTCCTGGGGCGGGCCTGGCCCAACGTGTTGTGGGCTTGACTCTGGCGTCGCTGATCCAGTGCTTTGATTGGGGAAGAGTCAACGACGAAAAAGTTGACATGGCTGAAGGTAGAGGACTCACCATGCCAAAAGCTGTGCCACTTGAAGCCATGTGTAAAGCACGCCCCATAATGAATACAGTTCTCTCGGACTTTCTAGATGCTATTTAGTGTTTTACTAGAAATATGTTATAGGTAATTAGTTTTCTCCACTTATGTTTTACATAGTTGTACAAACAGGATATGTCACTAAGAAAAAAAAATGTATTGTGTTATTCACCGCATGCATATGTGCTCTTCTCGTCGTTGTTTTTATTATTTTTTTGTATTTTTCTTGTATTTCTGCAATAATTTTAATTTTAGCATATAAAAGTCCATATGACAGTTTTATTCTAATATATGTAATAATTAATCTTGCTCATTATCTATCTTTCGTTTCCTTTCTGCATCCAAATGTTATGTATTTAATGGAACGTTTTGGTCACTCTATCAAGATTGTACAAAATTCTGATAATCAAATTAACTGACTCACAGTCATTGAACCATCAGATGCAAATTGATCAGTTTCAGTTCAAAAAGAGAAACCGACCGGCCTTGTCATGGTCGGTTTCGATATGTGATATATAATTTTAACCGTCGGTTCAAACCAAACCAAACCAAATCGAGGGCATATGTTTATTTTTTTTTCTAACATTTTTTTTCATAATAACATAACTCTACGACCCTTATGACGTTGCTTCCACCATCCTATCCTTTCATGTACGAAAACCCTAGCCCCGGCCCATAAACCCCATCTCTCAAAGACTAAAGATATGACTTTATATGAGAGTTTTTTACTGTAGTAAAAAAGTTAGATGTAATTGTTTGTGAGAATTTTTTATTGTAGCAAAACTCGAATCAGCAAAATGAACGGGGGCTAAAATTCTCAATCTCTAAGCTTTCCACCTCTTTCTTTCTCAAACCCTCCTCTACGCTGTCGCCCGCACCACCGAAGCCATGCAACATCATTTGTCACTGAGAAGGTCATTGTTTATAGCTGTGAAGGCTGTCATCCTATATTTGGTGAGTTTCATCACCCATTTTTCTCGATAAAAGTAGTAGGTATTGATGTTACAATTTTGATATGGTGTTGTTGTATTGTTTGCGAGAAATTAATGTTGTAAGATTATGGTGTAATCCTTTTTTTTTCCCAATCTGCATAAGTATATATTTGCATTGTGCATTATAGAAATTCTGCATTGAAAATAGCAACATAAAACCGACCAGAAATCTAAACCAACCGCTCCTCATCTTAATCACCACTAAAAACAAATATCAACATCAGTAGTTGACTAAAAACGCTAACACTATTAATAGCGTTTTATAGAGCGCTAGGACATCAGACGCTATTAAAAGTCGTAAGAAAACATAACGTTCTAAGAACGTTATGAAAAATGCTATAGAATTAAGATCTTATAACGTTGAAGACAAGTTATTTTCAACCTCTTACAGCTATTTAGCATAACTACAATACAGATTAATAACTTTTTTCCCTTATAATGTTCATACTCTTATAGCTTTTAAAATTATTATTAATATCCTTTTGAATTCATTTAAATAGATGGTGATTTTGAGCAACATCTTACATCCAAATAGGAACATTCAAATTAAAACATAAAAACATTCAACGTATCAATTGTTATCAATATCTACCAAGTTGGCAAGAAGATTATGTCTATAACATAAGTCATACAGTTTGTCCAACTCCTTAACATTCAAAAGTACAAGTAAAGAAAACAAACGAATAGCTAGAGATATCAAAGTATCCAAAACATCTAGCTAAATGGAATGGTGAAGTAAATCCTTCTATCTTGACAAAATGCTTCAACAAAAAAGTCATCTCTACTGTTTAACCTGTAAGAAAGTGATCCACTATCAAAACAATAATCAAACTCAGCTAAAACTTCCACAATTTAACCTGTAAATAAAGCAAGGACTAGTTACACCATTCACAACTACATAGCCACATCCATATATGTTTTGCAGTGAGTTAGAGGAAACATGGCTTCAATGATGCACTAGGCAAAAATTTAATGGCAAAGTTGTAAAATAGAGAGTATCTTACATGTATTGGTATGTAGATAGTTGGAGAAAACATGAGTCTTCATTGCCTACATTTAAACCCGAAGAGAAAAAAAAACTTGTTATCACAATCATATAAAAAAAATAAAGAAAGCACCACATGCATAAATATGGAGTCTTCATTATCACAACAAACGATTTAGCATCAAATATTGTACACTAACCAGTGGATAAAGCCTCATAGATTCGTTTATTACCATGCAAAGAATTTCATTAATCAAACCTTCTCGCTTGAATTTTTTTCTCTTACCATCAGATATTGGTTTGGAATTCTTAGTATTCAAGTTTACATCATTGTCTTTATCATAAGAGTTTTCCTTTCCTTGTTTCCTCGGTGAAACTCTACGCTCCTGTCAATTCCCAAAAGTGGGATTCGTTAAAAATGGCGCACAAATCAAGCATATCAGGTAAAAATAATTCTGAAAATTACTTAATTGCATTAAAAACTATCAATTTGTCGCTAAATCTAACCTGTTCAAGAGACATTTGCGACATACATGAAGAATGCAAGGCTTTTCCCCATTCTCACTCTTACAAGAGGCCACAAAATCTTTGGTTTTTTGACGGCACTGCAACAATCAACATCAAAATTCATTTAAACCCTAGGCAATTTAGAAAATTGACTACAATAACAGCAACAACAACAAAGCCTTAATCCCAACTTCAATTTAGAAAATCAATTTAGAAAATTGACTGCAAAAAAAAAAAAAAAAAAAAAAGATCAAATCATAAAGAAAAGTAAGAAGAAAGAAAGGAAAAAACCTGGTGACAACTCCTGCATAAAACCGTTTAGCAAAGCAAAGCAAAACAAAATCGCAAACGAGCAAAGAAAACCCAAACCAAAGCAATATAGCAAATTAACAAATTAGCAAAACCAAAACTAATCATAAACATAAGCCTCTACAAATCAATTCCATTCAACAAATCCTCCAAATCAAATGCATAGTTACACCCCTCAATGAAAACCAACCTACTGTTCACATCTTGGCTCCTAGAGATCATCTTCTCCGGTGGCATATCACCCTTGTTCAATTTCACGCATAGTAAGCTCAAAAATGTGTAATGGCCCTCACCGTCCCCTTATGGAGCATTATCCTAGACTATGACATAGTTTGCTACCAAGGTTTAGAATCACTTTAGCATAATGTAAAGTTCTCACCTCACTTTAAATAAACCAATTCTCCATATAAGGTCACTTATGAACATAGTTTATACACCAATATGCCAAGAGTTTTTGCATAAACCGGCAACCAACAATTATCACACCATTAAAAATCACTCAACATAAGGATTCACGGCCTCCAAACACATATTAATCATGGCATTTAAATTTCATACCATAAGCGGCCATGTATATATTTTTTATGTAAGGAATGTGTGGTGGCCTTAAGGTTCCACGTATGGAGCAAACTTCATAGGCAATGACAATTACACTACCAAGGTTTAGCTAACTTCGACATATTGGTGGGGATGGTTGTTAGAGTGAAGAAAAGCATACTTACCATAAGCGGCCATGTATATAATTTTGATGTAAGGAATGTGTGGTGGCCTTAAGGTTCCACGTATGGAGCAAACTTCATAGGCAATGATAATTACGCTACCAAGATTTAGCTAACTTCGACATATTGGTGGGGATGGCTGTTAGAGTGAAGCAAAGCATACTTACCAAGGAGTTCTGAACCAGAACTTAACCGCCCGTTTTCTGCCCTGAAATTCAGCAGAGAAACATTGAAAAAGTTGCAAACTGAATAGATGAAGAAAACCTTGGATTGCACTTAGACGAATAGAAGAAGAAAATCTCAACAAACAAAAAACAAATCATCTAGCTTTAAAATAATAAATTGTTGTTGTTGTTGTTGCTGCTGTTGCTGCTATAGTGAAGCATTAACCTTTCATTATTGGTCCGTGAGAATGGTGACCTGCAAGTTTATAGAGTTCTTGTCGTGGTTGTTGTTGTTGAGTACCCTGCTTCACTCTGATTCATAATTTCAACATAGTGAATAAAATTTATTATTTTAAAGCCAGATGATTTATTTTTTGTTTTTTGAGATTTTCTTCTTCTATTCGTCTGAGTTTGTTGTTGAACTACACTTTTAAGTACCCTGCTTCACTCTGATTCATAATTTCAATATAGTGAACAAAATTTATTATTTTAAAGCTAGATGATTTGTTTTTTGTTTGTTGAGATTTTCTTCTTCTATTCGTCTGAGTGCAATCCAAGGTTTTCTTCAGCTATTCAGTTTGCAACTTTTTCAATGTTTCTCTGCTAAATTTCATGGCAGAAAACGGACAGTTAAGTTCTGGTTCAGAACTCCTTAGTAAGTAACAACAACAACAAGAAGGTCACCATTCTCACGGACCAATAATGAAAGGTTAATGCTTCACTATAGTATGTTTATCAATCTCAATTTACTGAACATTCCCTTGTTCATGATTTCCGGCATTTGTGCCACAGTTACAAGCCTGAATGGTTTAATAGACGATATCACATTCTTGGACTTTAAAACACTGAAACAGTGAAACTATAAACTAGGACCATTCTATATTTTCTCAGTTTGCTCAGTAAATCCATATTTCACCTCAGCAATCTAAAATCTACACATCAGAAATTAAAAACAGTAAGACACCACAAGAGAGTGGTCCAATTAAGGAAAGCAAAAGTCAATCGCCAAATCACTCTATCAATTAATTGATAAGATTTTCGAAATATTTAGGAAAATATTAAAAAAAAAAATTAAGCCTTGTGGAGAAAATAGTTTACCAAAACCCCAAAAGAATTATGAATTCACAACATTTTCAACGAAGCAAAGCAAACGTCAGAAATTCAGATCAAATATACCTGTCAGAGTTTGTTTCTTAATGCCAGCAACCATCAAATATTCAGCCATATCCCTAAATGCACCGGAATAAGTAAATTCAACCTTAGAGACAAAAAACAAAAAAGCCCAAATCAGCAACAAATGAAATAAATAGAAACCTGATCTGAGGCTGATTACGATGAAATTGCTCTGTGAACAACGATCTGAGGCTGAGGATGACGAACATAACTGAACAGATTAATATCAAAGTGAACACAGATCTAAAATGGACAGGAAAAATCCTGGAACCCTTTTTGCTGAAGCAAAGAATCTGTTCCTGAAGGTCAAATTCCTGAAGCGGCGTGCCGGTGGGTGAGGGTGAGCCGGTGACGGTGGGTAGCCCTACTTTACCTATCAATTTAGTTCCACCGCCATCTAATCCAAATTAATTTTAGCCCTACGTTTATGTCTAATTACATTGGTATAGTTAAAAAAAAAAAAAAAAAGGCACATGTTTAAGCTAATGCAAGAATCCATCTTCTTTAAAAAAAATGCTGAGATTTTCTATTTTATTTTTCTAATCAACAAAATTATCCTCTGTGTTTTTCTAATATAAGATAAGAAATTTAAATAGAGTATTTATGGTGATTTTGACAATTCAACTACTGCAATACGTACTAGGAAAAAGAAATATAACTTCACAAAGTTTATTGACAATTTATTAAAAAAATATTATTGGGTGGGTGATCACATAAGCACAATAATGACGTATATTTTGGGACTGTTTAGTTCGCTGATTTAAATTTTTAATTTGAATTAAGATGTGACTTTATGTGAGAGTTTTTTACTGTAATAAAAAAATTAGATGTGATTATTTCTGAGAGTTTTTTACTGTAACAAAACTTGAATTCTAAACTCGAATTGGTGAAGTGAACGGGGCCTTGGTATGGTTTTTATGCAACTGGATACCTATTTATATATGAAGAGCTTTGTGATAAGTCTCTAAGAAGCTTACAAGAGATTAATTCTTAAAGCTGTTCACGTCCGCACCAAGTCAACTAAGTTGGTTTTCTTGGTTTCTACCTTGTCGTCACACATGAGCATTGAGACCATAAGATAGTGGGCTTCCATCCATAAGCTTTCACAACACAAGTTAAGTTTTGTTACATATGAAAGGGTGGAAAAAACTGTCATTAATCATTATAGTATTGATTCATTTAATTTTGAGGTCGTAATACATAGAGAATTTCCCCTAGAAAAATACACATAGAATTCATGTGAACATATATATGTTTCTAAGATTTATAATCTCCAATCCCGCTCAAAATGTGGAAAAGGAAAAATTAAAAGAAAACAATTAATATTATAAAAAAAATTCTGTAAACATGATTGGTTTCAGAAAGTAAAAGAAAAAAAAAATGTGGGTCTGCAAGTTCCAATAAGCTTAAGTGCTCCGTGTGCGATTTCCACTTGTTTACGAGTATTTACCAATTAGAACTATGCTACGTGAACGTGCTGTTGTGTAAATGCAGAAAAGATTGGCAACCTATGGCCTCGATTAATAATAGTCGATGTCAAGTTATTTTCAACAAAAGCAATGCGAAGATGCGGTTATATTGGGCATGTTTGGACTGTATTAGAGTACATTAATATAATATTTAGTGTGGTTTTTATAGTTTGTAAACTAATATGGACCGTAGAATAATACGGTTTATGTCGTATTATACAGTTTATTTTTATGTATTGTATTATACTATTTTGTAGTGAATTCATAATTTATGTTGAGATTAAGCAGGATTGGGATCGAGATTGGGCCGCCATGCCCGAATTAAAAAATTGAGAAGACATAATACAAATTTGTAATTTATAAAAATACATATTGACCCATTGATTTTGTAAATTATTTTAACTTCAAAATTTTTGGAAAATTATATTTTTGACCCTAAATTTTTTAAAATCACATTTTGACTCTAATTTTTTGTAAAATTATATTTTGATCTTAAATTTTTAAAAATTACATTTTCATCCTCAAAATTTTATAATTTTATATTTTGACCTTTTATATAACATCAAACAACATATTATATTATATTATGACAATACAACACAATATAATATACTTTATATAATATAATATAAGCTATCAAACATCGCTGTAATGTTTAAAAAGTGAAGAAGCAAAAAGTGTTACTTGTAGAAGGGCTAGTCTATTTTGAGAAATATTTCTTCCGATAACCAATATGAACGAGTGCAAAAGAGAGAAAAATAAAGGGAAAAGAAAAAAGTCGCAGAGCACCGTGTGAATAAAGAGGTTTGTCTTTGAGTATTTGACCGTGTGATTCGTGTAAAAGAGGTAACCTAAAAATGAGAGGAGTGTTATCTGTTACGACTTTGGTTTTCTTTCTGAAAGGTTTTTTTAACTTTTTGTTATAAAGCTTTTTTCTAGAAGGTTTTTCTGTATTCTCAATGGCTCTGCTTATTCTTTTTTTTTTTTTTTTTTTTTTTCGCTGAATGTAACAATAATTATTGGTCCTATTTAGACTCTATTTTCTTCGTTTATAATTTGAATCTTTTAGGGACCCGTGATCAATATAACCGAATAAACCTATATAACCAAATTCTACTTCAAGAATGAGTTCAGTTTGACCCACCACAACTTGTAATTTAATACAACACAATTCAATATTAACCCATCAAGAACTTAAAAGGAGTTTTAAATTTTTTAGTATCCAATTTGAATTTATCCTCAAGGAGGAAAAGGGAAAAACAATGGGTGCGTTTGGAATTGGTTCCAAAACGTTTTTATTTTCTGTACGAAAATGAAAATGAAAACGTTTTTAGTTTCATTTTTGAATTATTTCTAAAAATGGGTTTGGTAGTTTTATTTAGAGATTGATTTCAGTTTTAAAAAAAACTGAAACTGCGTTTGGTGGTTTAATTTTTGAAAACATGTAATAATATATTAAATAAATAATATTATTAAATATA